GGTGCCCGCGTATGCCACTGAGCACTATCGCATGTTGTCGTGAGGTCTAGACTCATTGCTGTCGGGTGAACTCTTTCATCTACCCGGGCCGGTGCGGCTTGACGAAACAACCGCCGCAACTTCACGGTTCTTTTGCCTCTGCTAAATCGCGCAAAAGAACTGCCTCCGATGTGTTGCCACCAACCTTTCGTGTGCTGTCATGCAGCGCCCAACCATCCTTGCACTAGGTTCTCATTGTCAGCAGCTACGCTGTCGAGCCTGGCCCCCACAATCAGGGCTTGGGCCTCGGCTTCCGCTCGGAGCAAGTTTCTGTGAAGCAACATAGGCTTCAGCTGCATATGTGGCACGTGTTCAGCAGTAGCATGCAGATCTGCAGAAGTGAATTGAAACATCGGTCTTCCGCGTGGTTCCAGCGACATGGGCCGTGACATGTGGAGTTCCATGCGCGCGGGCACTGTGACAGCAGCATAAGCGGCAGTAGCAGCATAAGCGGCACCAGCAGCATGTGTCGCATAAGCAGCATTACCAGCAGCAGCATACGCGGCACTAGCAGCACAAGCGGCACTAGCAACACAAGCGGCACCAGCCTAGCAGCAGCAGCAGCAGCAGCAGCAGCAGCAGCAGCAGCAGCATAAGCGGCACCATAGCAGCATAAGCGGCACCAGCAGCACAAGCAGCATAAGCAGCATTAGCAGCACAAGCGGCGCCAGCAGCAGCATAAGCGGCACAAGCAGCACTAGCAGCTGTAGCTGCGAAACCATGATGCCGCCTCCGAGGGCACCTGCCAAGGCTAAGGGCAACGTGGTCCCGCCGAGGCCTCTGGGGCCACCCAAGACAGTGGCGACAGTGGCTGCGAGACCTGGCTTCGAGCCGCAGTACGTGCAGAACCTGAAGACGAAGGACATTCTGATCGCGGAGCTTCGGCAGGAGATCCTGCAGAAAGAGGTCACGATCGAGGGCTTGCTCAAGGCACATCTGAGTGAGTGGAGAACGACTGAAGAGAGTGAGAGGGTGAAGAGCCAGAGTGGGAGAGAGAACCTGGCAGGACCCGTGATTCGCCCCCCAGCCTAGTTCTGGCAGGTTCTTGCCAAGGGCGCCCCGGCGGCGAAGGGCGAGGAGTGGCTGATGAGTTGTGTTTAGCGAAGCAAGCAAAAGCTTACCCCCTCCCCCCTCTGGCAGGTTCTTGCCAAGGGCGCCCCGGCGGCGAAGGTGGCTGATGAGTTGTGTTTAGCGAAGCCAGCAAAAGCTTACCCCCTCCCCCCTCCTGTTTGGCAGGCAGCTGCTGCAGTGGTGCCGGCCAGGGTGAAGGAGGTTCTGGTCAAGAAGGCTGGGTGCTGTGAAAGGCTGCAAGGAATTTGCCAGCTGTCCGATTCTGACAGGCGGTTCGCAAAGACAAGCCTTTGGTCGCCCTGCTTGACTCCGAGGATGAGGATGGGCAATTTCGTTCGCTCAATCATTTCTTTCATTGTGTTTCAATGCAAGGAGGACTCCCGCGAAGGGCCGCGAGATCCGAGACCTGGACGAGCATCGGGAGCCGGGAGCAGCAAGGCGGGACAAGGCAATGAAGCGTTTGAATGCTTAGACAATCAACCTGCTAGGACAGGCCTCCAGCGGCGGGGGCGTGCACGGGCACGGCATCCAAAGCCGGAGGCAGCAAGGCCGGAAATATTGTCAAGTTCGTTTTTTCAAGGCCCTTTCTTGGAGGATTGTCAACCTGCCAGGCTCAGCCCAAGGCGTACCCGTTGGCCCCACCGAAGCAGGCAGCGGGAGCCGGACACACCCAAGGCGCCCGGCTTCGGAGGCTTGATCAAGGCCCACAACATCAGATTCAAGGCCCAAGCTTGGACAATTCAACGACCATCAACCTGCCAGGACCAGGAGGCTGCGTTGGGCCGAAAGAGGAAGAGAGCGGAGAAGGCCGGGGACATCATAACCCGAGCGTGGTCAAGAACGTTTATCTGTGTTGCCTGGAGGACCTTCGAGACAGGAGTCCGGCATCCATGGTCCCCACGGATGCCCGCCCGGCCACGCTTACAATCCTGGGCTTGAGAAACCGAGCGAACTGATGAATGATTTGTCACAGCCAGGTGCCGACGTCCCCGGCCGATTGAGTGTGCGGGTACCATAGAGGCAAGAAGTGATCTCTTCGAAGGACCAGCCAGTGCCCTATAGACCCTTAGCCTTAGCAGCCTCAAAGGTACCGTTATGGAGCCCCTAGAAGCCTGAAAGAGCCCTTGGACGAAACCGTGCTCATAGAAGATGGCATTGCTGGTGCTGCTGTGTCCCACACGTACCAGTACAAGTGTAATTATGAGTTATTGAATACTTTTGGCTATACCCTAAGGCTCCAAGAATGCAAATAGTTCGTACTTTGGGGTCCAGTCTTTCAGCACAGTACCTACTTCGGGCCAATTGGAGCCGCGAGGATAGCCGACCCCATATAGATCACTTCTGCCTTGGCAAGTTTCTGGAGCTCGAGTTCTGGAGCTCGAGGCATCAGAGCCCCCTCCGCCGAGAGGCACCGCGGCACCACGAAGAAACAAAATTCCAGCGGACCGTTCTCGTCATCGGACCTGGAGCACAGCTGTGACTCTTGTCATATTGTGAGTTCCACGACAGCTCAGGCCGATGCCGCCGCGCCATGATTCCAAGCCGAGGACGGGAAGGGCCGGTTGCCAGTAAGCTTTTTTGGTAGAACAGTTGTCGTTGGCTACTTTTTGTTTTGTGCGCAAGGTCCTCCGTAACCGTCCACGGTGTGCGGGTGTGGCTGCGACTCCAGACCGACGCAGCGCCTGTGCGTACTGCTCTGCTGGCCCTGCGGAACACCCAAGCAAAGTGGACAGACAAGCGCTGGAACCAAGCAGTATGCAGATGGAAAAAAGGGCCAGGCAGTTCGGCTTACAGTCCTAGAGTCTTGCTCTGTCTCATCCTACCCTGCATCCTTATGTTTTGGAATAGCGGGTCCACTGCTGACTTTTTGCCCGCCCAGGTAGCCGCTACAACCTGCGACAGCAAGGACGCGCGGCAGAGACCAAAGAAGACTTTGCAGTTCCCCTGGACCCCGTGCCGAAAACGAGCCTGCGACAACTCATGTTGCAGCTGCTGCTCACTGCTTCCTGGGTGCTGTCCTGCCGCTGACTGCAACTTAAGTCGCGGTCACTGTGCTCGTTTCTCAAGAGTTTGGTGACCGGTGAAACCTCGACCCATGCCCTGACCCAAACCAACACCGAGACCTGCCCGAGCCGGATCTCTTCGATGCTGACAGCGTGCACAGACACCTTTGCTTCGCCGGCATTCGATACGGTACCTCATACTCAGGCCCGTTATGGCTCGGAATGTATCCTGCGCTGTCTAAGTCTGCGTTCGCTGCTTTGTCAGGCGATTACAGTGCGTTGGTCTCGCACCTGCGGCTCTCCTGCATATCGGAGATGGAGCAGCCGAATGGGCGCTGAAGCGTGGCGGCCGCAAATCAGGATTCTTTCCTAAGCTGCCGACAAGTCTTGCCTGTGGCCTAGGTTGGCGAACCACGTGGGCGGTTCCGTTTTGGCGTCCGCCACGGCAGCAGCACCTCTGTGCAAACGTGCCCTAATCGGACATGTTCCTTCTCGCTGCTATTCAAGCCTAAACCCTAAACCTTAAACCCTACACCCTGAACCCTGAACCCTAAACCCTGAACCGTTCATGTTGCCAGGCGGTCGCAGGCCATCCAACGTGCTTTTCTTCAACTGCTGCCTGGCGCGCGCTGTGATACATCTGAACCTGCCCGGCTGGGAAACGTTATTCGGCTTCGTGGACCTCCAACATATCTCCTGCGAGCTGCTCGAACGCCAAACCACATGGTTTTTCTTCCACTCCCTCACTGATCCAACCCCCGCCTGAGTTTCGTTGTCGCCTGAGGCTGAGAAAGTTCCACGGCGACGCTGCTGCAGTCCGTGCAGTACCCACGCGCCAAGAGCAACGAAACTACTGCCAAATGGTGACAGCCTTTGCTCATCACCACAACCTGCCATTGCCGGCGACGGGACGATCCAGGAAAGACTCGAACAGCACGACCGAGTGGACGGACACCCAGGCGGAATATTTAAACTTCCTGGAGGCTCTGATCGTGCGCTTCAAGCGGCTCTGGGTGCCGCGCGCTTCCGCTACACGGCTGGGCGCCACGGCTATCCTCTCCGACAACAGATTCCGCAGCAAACGTATCGGTCAATGGACCCATCTCCTGGACCGGTCGTCTTTATTCTATTGGCAAGCGGCCCCTGGGTAACGTTTTTTGTGTTCGCTTACCCAGTCGGATTTTGAGCAGTCGCCGCTTAATCCTGCAGCTGACGAGGCGGTGCCTGGTCGAGTGTGGACCTGGCCTACGAGCCAAGCAAACTCGTTGCCCGAGCTGGCCGCCCGCCCGAAGGACCTCCTGCTCAATGCCATGACGTCGGTTGTTCTGACCTGCAGCGCGCGTGCAGCTCGTGAACATCCGTGGATCGATGCTGCCGGCTTCTTGCCCAAAAACCTGAAACCAAGGAACTACAAAACCCCAACCTTCTGCTTGCGGAACCCATTGCCTGCTGCAGGTCTTGCGCGACTTGGGCAATACACCGAGAACAATCCTGAGGCATTCCGATTTCCGTATGCACGTGCTTTGGCAGACCTGCCCCCTCCCACTTTACAGCGGTTGCCGACAGTTCTGCTCGACATGGCCGAGCGTGCTTGCGCTGAACACCAGCGGGTTCCCTAGACTACGACCCCGGTAAGTACCGCTGACCCCTCAACCGTAAAATGAACCTATAACCCCTAAACCCCTACAGACTTCCAATTACATAAACTCTATGACTCCTAAACCCCTGATAGCACCTATACGCTCCTCCCCCCCAATGTTCGTAAACCTCCAGTTAATTCAGTTCGACAGTGGCGCATCTGATTTTCCGACTCCGCACTTTGCTGTGAAGCCGCTTCTGAGTACAAAACCGGAGCCGTTGGCGTATATGCATACTTGGCTGCGCTGGAAAGGCCTCGGTTGTTGACGCTTCTAGCTTTCGTCCCAGTCCCTCCTCCCCAAGTTTGGTTGTTATGTCATGCAGTCTTGATACATCGAGGTTTCACTGCTTAGAGAGTGCCAGTGCGGCAACTGCCCGCCAAGTGCTGAGCCCGCTCGCACCGCGTTTAATTGCAAAATTGTATTGTTGTTGTTGTTGGCCCCGACTCCCGGTAAACGCGCAAAACCGACATGCCGA